CCTGTACTGCATATTTATTTTGGGACTACAGACGTATTTCGGGAGATCCCCCTGTACTGCATATTTACTTTGGGACTACAGACGTATTCCGGGAGATCCCCCTGTACTATATATTCATTTGAAACTACGGGACGGTATCCCGAGTGATTATCCCACTGTGTTTACCTTGTTTTGAGCCGAGGGCTCCCTTAATTGTTAAATTTTCGAGAATTTCTCTAACTATGTTACCGTAAATTTCACTTATATCTTTTACTGTTTAATTTATTATATTTACTCCGGTAGGGCCTTGACTTGACCTCGTTACTACTCGACCGAGGTTAGGCTTGGCACTTACTTGGTACTATTGTGATGTACTCATTCCCTTCCCTGCACATGTTTTCGTGTGCAGATCCAGGTGCGAGCTATCAGCCTCGGGGTTAGTACGTGCTGCTGATTCTAGGAGACTTCAAGGTACTTCTGCTTGCGTCCGCAGATCTTCGGAGTCCCCTTCTACTCCCTCGCCTAGATACTTTCTTTATTATCCTTAGACTTTTGTATAGAGCTACATAGATTATAACAACTTGTGACTTAGTGATATTCCGGGTCTTGAAAAATTATTTTGTATATACCGAGTGATACTACTCTTGGCTGTTTATAATATGTTGTTTATCTTTAAAATGTTGTGTTTCTTTATATTTTTCGCAATATTAGGCTTACCTAGTCGTAAGGACTAGGTGCCATCATGACGCCTTACAGAGGAATAATTTGGGGTCGTGACAGTGCATCAGAGTTCACAGGAGTTTCAGTGAGCCCCGAGCAGTGCTCACACTAGGGAGGTTAATAGAGAAGATTCTGGTTGCCTTGGCTTTCAACAGGCCACAATCAAGAGAGCAGAAATAATATAGAAGGTGAAAAGTGAGAGAATAATAGTAATTCTTAAGCGATTAAAGTCTGTCCAAAGGAAAAATTGGGGAGGGGTTTATAAAGTAATAAAAATCAACACATAAATAAGGAAATACGGTCAATCGAACATAAACAAGGAAAGAAGAACATGCAAAAATTAATTTAGAATCGGATTAGGAGAAGAAATCAGGTAAACCCTAGTTTGACTAGGATCAGAAATTGGCGGGAGATCTTGGTGAATCAGAACCTCATAGCCTTGCTATTAACGTATACGGAGGAAATATCATCCAAATCTTGGAGAGTAGAGCGATCTCCTTTTATTCATCGACTGGTGCTTGCCAAAAATGGGCAAGTACTAAGTAACACCATCTTTACATAAGTAATAGCGGTATAATCCGGAAAAGGTAAGTAAATCATGGTAAGAATCCATGGATGATTTGGATTTAGAGAAGATTTTGGGTGGCGGCTAGGGTTTCTCAGAGAAGAAGAGAGTAGAGGATTTAGGGGCGGCTGGAGTGTGAGAATGGGATTAGGGTTTAGGGTGAGGGGATATAAGGAAATGGCAGGGATTATTATGGGTCGTTGATCATCTGAGATCAACGACCGTGATTAAAGGAAAGTGGGGCGGGTCGAGTAAACGGGTCCCGACCAGGTTGGAACAAAAGGGGTCGTTTGGTTTGGACAGGGCAGGCTGGGGTTGGGCTCATTTGTTTGGACCTTGATTGGTCCGGAAATAAGGCATAATTTGGGCCAGATTTTGAAGTAGGGGAAATAATTTTAATAAAAAGTTAAATAAAATATAAAAAATTCTATTTATGCAACTTAATACTTTAAAACAATAGTTGAAGATTATGAAAAATGTAAAAATTTATTTTGACCTTAAATAAAATGACAAATGCCATTTATTGTAAAATATAGGCTATTATTGGAAAATTATGTATTTGGCATAAAAGTGCAAATGTAATTATATAAAATAAAGTAAAATATTATAAAATAGATATGAGAATGCAAATAATAGAGTTGGATGATTAAATCATCACAAAATAATTTAAGGGGGTAATTAATACATATTCAAGTAATTTAACTTCAAGAAAATCAGTTTTAAAGTTTTAAAAATTATAAAATATTAAAAAAATACTTGTATAACCCTTGTAAATTGAGTAATGATGCACAAATGATATTTTGAAAGTATATATACTATTTGAAAAAATATGAGGGCAAAATTGGGTATCAACAGACATAACACTTCATAAGACCTCATGGGAGGGGCTTAGGTACCCGAAAATAATGAAATCTCGATAAATTATATATTTATTGAGTGATGATGGAACCGATGCAAAATGATCATCGACGATATTGTTAATATAATGTGGTACTCAATATTATTAATATTGACGAGTATCTTGAGCTCAAATCTGTCATGAAATTTGGATAGATAAATGATTGGCCAAATAAAAAATACGCAATGAAAATTGACTTCACCTGAAAAATGTAAAGTTGGACGGATAGTCTCAACATCTGAAAGTATAAAGCCAGTGGTGCTATAAATGTGTTCTTGTGCGAAAAAGGTCAAGTCGATAGACATAAAGACGACTTGTGACACAAGAAGATTTGTAAATATTCTGGCATTGATTATATAGAGACATATTCTCCTGTGGTGGATGTAGTTATTTCAGGTTTTAATCTGACAATACATGAAAAACTTGATATGCGTATAATGGAAATCATTTAAGGATTTAAATTGTTTTGAAGCATGTTAAGGTTCCCAAAAAATTATTAAATAAAACTTCAGCAAATTCTTATGTGAATTAGAGCGATCTTGCCGTACATGATTTGTTTTTGTGTCTAGTGCAATTGGTGCACTAATGTATCTTGCTAGAACTATGAGCATAACAATATGCAAGCAAGATATAGTTTTATTCCTATATAAAGATATTGGAATACTATTAGGATTATATTGCTAAAGGAATCCTTGATATAGATTTGTTTATTCTAATAAATATTGCCAAAGTTTTGTTGGTTATGCAAATGCAGGCATTTTCTGAAGTTCGTTCTTAAAATAATCTATTTGTATGTGAGGGCACTACCATATTATTATTTCACAAGGCAATCAATTGTTGATACTTATTCAACAATGTCAATATACTAGCAACTGATAAATCAAGTCATTCAACACACAACCTGTGTGTGACTTTACTTTGAAGAGAAGATTCCAATAATAGTGAAGACGATGGTGTTTGTTTATCTCAATTGAAAGAAAGATATATTGAAGGAGACAAAATAAATCATATATTTCATCAAAGTTTTTTATCAGACACAATCTTCACCAAACGGTGAAATAGATGTTCAATGAATTTGTTCGCTTGATAATTTGGTGATTCTATTCAACGAAGCATGATCAACGTCAACATTTGAGAAGTTGGTATACAGGATCGGAACACAACACCTAGGTGAAATAAATTGATATTTTCATCAGAGGAAGGCAAATACGCGTTGTACTCTTTTTCCCTTAGCTACGGTTTTATCCCACTTGGTTTTTCTGACAAGGTTTTTAATGAGGCAGCAAGCAATACGTATTACATGATATGTGTACTCTTTTTCCTTCACTAGAATTTTTTTTTCATAGGTTTTTTTTCCATAGTTTTTTTTTCCTAGCGGTTTTAACGAGACACATTATCTATGTACATCCGGGGGGGTTATAAAATCTTGAATTGTGGTGGATGTCCATAACCACCAAATGAGTAATGCTCACTACTCTTCTCCATTATCTCCATAACGTTCACTATTAAAATACTTATGGAGTTATGATTGTAACTCCTAACCTCCCCATCCCCATGATCTTCCTCTATGATCTCAAATATTTAATGACATATTTCTTCACTTTTCATACCTATATAAAAGCCTTGTAATTAGATGAAAAGATTAACACAATTGAAGAAGAAATAAGAATCTCTCATCTCTTTCTCTCTATATCTCTATATCTCTTAACTTGTTTTTCCTTATTATATATTATTACTTTGAGATATATTTTATAACAACTTGAACAAAATCTTGCTTTATGATCTATATTAAGTGATGAGGATGACTTTATACAAGCCATTTCACCAAATCAACCACTGCTTCTGCACTTAATTGACTTGCGCGTCTACTATTTTTGATCGTCCAAGGCCAAGTTTTAAAGTAACATGACGTTTTTTATTGGAGTCATTTTCTCTAAAAAGACGGAACTCAAGTATTATTCATTTTAAGAGACAGATAACATGGAGAAAAAAGAGTAAAATAGTTTGGCCTCATACCACAAATCTTGAGCAGCTCTTGCATTAGTAGCGGCATTTAATGCAACCACTTGCCCATTTATTTTCATCTCTAAAATTGAGAAAGCATATATGCATTCTTAAAATGGGAGCAAGGGCGGATTTAGGTCCTTTTTACGGTTTATGTGAACCCATAATCTTTTCGCTAAACTAGATATTTTATATATGTATTTCGTAAAATTGATTTAATATTATCTATTGGCCCACGTACACCAAAAAAGTTGAATGATGTACTTAATTGAATATTGAGTTATTTATCTAAAGAAACATGAATTAATTCCCACTTAGTATTTCTTTTATCTCGCTTTTTTAATGATGCATTCATGTTCCAGAAATCTAAAATCCACCTATGAATGGGAGGTTGAAAGCTTTGAACACTTCAAGTTTAGCCAAGTTATTATCCATCCTAAAGTTAAAAAAAAGGAAAAGAAAGCTGATTACCTACCTACCATAGTCCAAGAATTTATTTGTTACACGTAACTATTTAGATTTAACACAAATTAAAAGACCGATTCTTTTATATACATAATCAAACTTACATGTACATCGAATTATATAATATATTGACACTGTTACATAAAATCTTGCGTATGTTATGTTACTATTCACAAGCTTCATTTGGATATTAGTTTGTTCATTGAAGTGATACTTACGTTTAAGTGTAAAAGGATATACACAAAAAACCTAATCAATTTTGTTGTTTTTTACACTTTAGTCCTGTCTAATAGTCTTCTTTGAATTTTTGTGTGATGCAAGGCCCCACCTTTTTTATTAACGCGTATATCACGTAAAAGTCCATTGACTTCTCTCAAATCTGCCAAAACAAAGAAATTTCTAGTAAACTTCCCCTTTCTTCTTTCACCCTTACCAAAAACCAACTGAAAATCTTAGTAAAATACATGTAGTAATCCTATATCTCAATGCACACTGAGATGTAGCAGAGTGGAAAAAAAAAAATCCAAGAAAAGAGTTAGTACAATTTTCTTATTTTCCCTTTTAAGGAACTGTATTCATCTTCCCCTAAATATCCAAGAAAATGATACCATTTTTCATAGTTTGTTGAAAATTCCAAGGTATTGTATAATCCTAGAAAAAGGGTCATCATCTTCTTGGTTTCTTGTTAACTTAAAGGTACTATTTTTGTGTTCCTCTAATTCTTAGTTTCTGTTTTTATGGCTATTTTTGATAGAAAGATGCTAGTAGTTACTATATTAAAACCAAATCCATTAGAAACACCTCCAATTTTTTCAGAAAAAAATACTATGTGTTTGAATTGTACACCAGATGATTGTCCTGATGATTGTGTTCCTTATTTCCCCCCTCCTCCACCTCCTATAACAAGTGATAAATATCACATGCCTTTTTATTTTATTTTAATGCTTTGTGTTCTTGGGGCTGTTTTTGTGTTTATTTGTTACATGTTTTCACTTAAGAGATATAGGTCCAATTCTAGGAATAGGAGAAATAATCTTCAACAATTGAATGAAAATAGAGAGGATTTTATTGATGAGAATCTTGGACCAATGGTTGATCATCCAATTTGGTATATACGTACTATTGGACTACCACAAGAAATAATTGATTCAATTACAGTGTTTAAGTACAAAAAAGATGAATCTTTGATTGAAGGAAGTGATTGTTCTGTTTGTTTGACTGAATTTGAGGAAGGTGAGAGTCTTAGGTTATTGCCAAAATGTAGCCATGCTTTTCATATCCCTTGTATTGATACTTGGCTAAGGTCACACAAGAATTGCCCGTTATGTCGCGCTCCTATAGTTTCTGATATGGATAATATACCTCAAATGAGTAATGCTGTGGAAGTTGTATCGATCATGAATATTGGTGGTGACTCTAGTCCAAATGAAGTTGAAGCTGAGAATGGAAGGCAAAGTGATCAACTCGAAAATCTTGAATCGAGTGAAGAAGGAAATCATGAAAATCTTGATAATGAGGAGGGGAGAACGATGGACCTATCGATGAAAATTCCACGTGTTGTTGATGAAAGGAAGAAAGGGGTTCGTGTTTTTAGCGATTTGTCTGAGCACAGAGTCAAAGTGAATGATGATCTGCAGCCAGCACGAAGATCGGTCTCAATGGATTCTTCTGCTGCTAAAATGATTCATCTCGAGATGAATCTTGAAAAAATTGAAGGGGGTTCGAGTTCAAATGATCAACTTGCAGAAGGGAATAGTAAAGGGAGTTTAGAAATTATGTCAAAGAGAGGAAGCAGAAATTCAAGTTTGTATAAAGTAATGAAGAGTTACTCCTTTGGGCGTTCACTGCAAAAAGTTCCTATTAGTATGAAGAGGTCTTTCTCTACTAGTGGAAAGTGTTCTTTGCCAACAACTAGCAGGATTCAGGATCTAAGACAAACAATGTAAGAACATTTCATTTTGGTTCTTGAATTTTTCAAGTGGGGTTCAAGATTTTCCCATATATATATATATATATGGTTGAGCCATTTTCTAAGCTGAGGGTTTATTGGAAACAACATCTCTATCTTCACAAAGTAGGGGTAAGGTCTGCGTACACACTACCCTCTCCAGACTCCACTATGTGGAATTATACTGGGCATGTTGTTGTTGTGGTTATATATATTTGAACCATATGAAAATATTTAAGTGTAAACATAATGTTCCAAATAACAAGGAATTTGGAACAGCTGAATCCAGCAAAGTGAGACTCTTCAAATGAAGTTCTTGGAAATATTTTGGCTTGCTATTATTCAGTGATTGCACTAGCTGCTACTATATATTTGGAGCAATTGTATTATTTTTTTTATATCACATTTGGAGCAATTGTTGAGCAAAAAGCATGCTAAAAAAATGGATTCTCAAATCTCAATTACAACAGTGGTTTCAAAAGAATGAAACAGAGTCTGAAAACTAACATTGTTCAACTTTTACACTGTTAGTTTGATCAATGTTATATCTTGATAAAGAAAACTTTTAACGATGCAAGAAAGTAATACATTTATAGAGAAAACATTACATAACGTTTTAAATATGAATATTTAGATGAATTTAAATTCTTGAAAATTATAAAAGTCTGATAGAAACAGAAGAGTGTTAAACATTCTGAAATATCTCAAAATCTAAAGAATATACATAAGTTGGACAGAGAAGTATCATAAATCAAGAAATGTATCTTTTTACAAAAAAGGGAGTTTTTGAGTAACAATAAAGTTGCTTTTGTGTTACATATAGGTCACTGGTTCGAGCCCATGAAAGTAGTTATTAATGCTTGCATTAGAGTAGGCTGTATACATCACATCCTTTTGGTACGGCCCTTCCCTGGACCCTGCCCGAAGGCTGAATGTGGATGATTTGTGCACCAGATTGAAAGGTTTTTACAAAGTTAGCATTGGTGAACATTGCTTGATCTTTTAGGATTATTGAAAGTAGCCGAAGTTGTGAACCCAAATGATACCATAGTCCATGGCCCAATCAGCTAAACCATCTGAGTAATGGGCTTTTCAAAAGATTTCTAAACGGTAAGTAATGGGCTCGAATCCTGTAATACAAGTACACAATAAAAGATCCGGGTATTATCATCTTTAGCCCGCGCCAAAAATTATTTATATTTGGTAGCCAAAAAAGTATATAAAATTTGTATAATTTTTATACATAACATACAAAATGTATATATCTACAAAAAAATATATATTTTTCAGCTATTATTTTGAGAGCGGCTATATAGAATCATTTTCCCTAAAAGATCATTGTATGATTTTGCACTTGTTTCGTTGAAGTATAAATTTGAGTTGCTACTTGCCTCAAAAGCACTGTACCTCCTTTTTTTCATATAGACCATACTCTGCTTATAATGTTAAAATCATAATTAGGTAAATAACATTTAAAAATAGTATAAAAGCAGGCAAAGGTCCTGAGGTCGAGTCTTATTGATACCCGTTATAAAAAAAAAAGAATTCCACGTGCTAACACATGGGTGGACATATTGAAGACATAGTTATGTGAATAAAAGTGTATTCTTAGAGAGATGGTCACACACTCCAATATATAGAACCTCCAATGTAAATCAGGTGCTTTTCCTTCTGTCTTTTTTTTTTGTGAGTGAATCAATAGATCAAGCTAAAGATATTTTAAAAAAGCGACATTCAACAATAAAAAAAATTGTGCTTCTTCAATCACTTTTGTTTCATTTCATATCCCCAATCATATTATTAATCAAAGATCAAAGGCTTCTGATTCCGCCAGCTATTTTTAGTTTCAACGGCTAAAAGAGTCTAGGAGTCCGTTTGGAGTGACTTATTTTAAGTGGTTTAAAGTCAAAATAGCTTTTAAGCTATTTTATAGTGTTTGGATATAATACCCTATATTTTTTATAAGGGTGTATTGGTCATTAGCAAAAAAAAAAAAGAAACTAACTAATAAAAAACACAAAAACAAAGAGAAAAGGAATTCAATAAAAGGGTCGAAGCCCATTCTGGCCAAAAATAAAAAAAACGAAGAAAGGGGAAAAGGGGAAAAGGGAAAAGGGAAAAGAGGAAAGCAGCAAAGCTGCGCTAAAAAGAAACAGAAGCAATGAAGCATTCAAAAACAAAAGAATAAGGGCCCAAGCTCTACAGAACCAAAACGGACAGAGGCGATCAAAAGCAACCATAAAGTAGATTTACTTTGTTCTAACAAAGGGATTTAAAGAGAAGGGGAACAAGTTAGGTAATTGAATTCTAAAACTTTTCCATGGTAATCTGATTCCTTTACTTAATACTCAACACACTATTAGCTATCAACAAATTCAAGTTACTATTAATCTAGTACAGACAGTGAAATTTTATATACATGATTCTTATAGGGCTGAGTAGATATAATTTTAGAATTGGATTAAGAATTTAAAAGATAAAGTCAAGGAAAATGGGAGAAATTCATAAGACTTTTCTGTGAATTAATTGGGTATATCATATGAATAAGTTGTATTTAATAGATTTTGAAGTATTCTAAACTACCAGTAGCGTGAGTAAGTATAAATTGATGAATTAAGAGTCAAACATGAACCCAAGGGTTGGACATTCTAAATTAGCTATGAATTAGCTAAAACAAGGAAATTAACACGAGATCGATATTGATGTGATTATAGATTGATTGAAGAAAGTCGTATGGATCGTTCGAGGTGACGAGTTTGGTATTTTGCACGAAGCACTGTGAGTAGTAAACTTACTGCAATTTGTGTTTTCATAACTTGCATGATTTACACATGATTTTAAATATGAATATGTTACCGATTATTTTATGTTGCATGCGGGACAAGTCTTTTACTCGATATGATAGCGAAATAGTTATTTAAGATGATTACCATTATTTTAAATATTTCCGTTGTCACTAGATCTGTTTTGCCGCTACTTGAATTTACTGTTATCGAAATGAAATTATATGATTTGATAAGAACCGAAATGCCCTATATTGTTTTAAAATATTTTCTACGAGTATATACGAATTACAGAGATAAGTATAAATGGAATTAGACATTGAAGGATCACATAGCTAACGGCGGGTTCGTTAGACCTGGTGCACCTTGTAATTACCGATAACCATTATAACCCTCACCAGTGGGAAGGTAGAACTAGCATACCGTTGCTGATTTTTCTCGAGTAGGGACTACCGTTATATTTGACTTCGTGCGAAGAAGTACACAGTTATACCGATTACATGATCCATTCATTGAAACCTCCCAAACATGAGACTGATTATTGTTTATTATTTCTGAAAGGGAATTTTATGATATTTTCTGTTTAATATATATAGTAGCATGTTTTCTGACTTGTCCCCAATAAAAACGGTTGTGGTTAAGTATTATTACTCACTGATCTAGCGACTCACTCCCCGCTATTTTTTTTTACAGAGACAACAGTTGACGCGGGCGAGAATTTCGCTAATTAGAGCGCACAGGTTGATAGTTCTTGGTGAGCCTCGCACTTGTTCGCGTGGGCGGATATTTTATTTATTATTATAGTCTTTTCTTTGAACTCTTAGAGTCGCTCCATAGTCATTCTTTTAGTTTCATGAGTATTCTTTTGTTATTATAGACTTATGTTGAGTATCACTTTTTATTATCAAAGTTGGAGATAAATTAGTATTTCTAGCTGTTAGTGGGTTAATGGTAGATATTTATTTAGGTTAATTGATAAAGTTATTGTTGTTTGGATTGATATTAGGATGTTTGGTTGTTGATTTGAGACAGGAAAATTTTTGGGATAGTCCAAAAACAGGGGAAACTATGTCCGATTTTCTATAAAATACCGATGAGGCTTACTTGGGGGCACTTGCTCCTAAGTACCGGTCATGATCCTAAATTGGGTCGTGACAAAGTTGGTATCAGAGCCAGGTTTTACGTCCCGAGTCATGGAGCAATTTTTAGTAGAGTCTTGTTCATGGGTATGTAGGCACCCATACTTATGATCTTGAGGCTACTGAACATTTAGGAATATTTTCCCTTCTTTCATTCTTTGATCGTGCGTTGAGATAACTTGAGATTGACTTTGGAGTATTTCTTTCGCAGATGGCTAGGACACGCACACCTTCATCTGCTGGACGTGGTGCTGGACGTGGTACTACCCGAGGTGGCGGTCAAGTTGGGGTTCATCAAACTAGAAGACATGCTGCTCATCAACCTGAAGTTGGGAACATGGGTCAACCCCAAGCTACTATGCCAGATCAAGTACAAGAACATGGGGTGCAGGACGCTCCACCACCAGTTCCAACTGTTGTACCTACTGTTGCCTTACCTGTAGATGCAGTGGTAAGGTTATTGAATGTGTTAGAGGCATTGGTGCTTACTTAGGATTGAAGCTCATCTCCTCAGGCTACTTTACAGACACAAGCACCTGCACAGACTAAGACGTTCAGGAATAAGGAAGTATCCCTACAAAAGTTCCTAAAATTGAAATCACCAAAATTTACAGGTTCTAATAATTCAGCAGATCCTCAAAGTTTCTTGGATGGGACACTCAAGGCATTACGTGCTCTTGGATGTTCTAGTGAGAGAGTCGTGGAGCTCGCACAATACAAACTAGAGGATATGGCCAATACATGGTATGAACTGTGTTACTAGGAAGGCCAGCAAGAGCAACACCACTGACATGAAACGAATTCACTAAGTTGTTCATGAATCATTTTCTTCCAGACAGACTGATGCAAAAATATGCTAGAGACTTTGAGAGATTGGTTCAGACTCCAGATATGGATGTGTCAACATATAACACCAAGTTTTGTAAGCTGGCTAGATATGCTCCTTACTTAGTCCTACCGAAGAAGCTCGAGTTCAGAGGTTTGTTGATGGGTTGATTGGTCGTCTATACACTGTTGTAGTCCCCCAGATGAAGACTTTGTCATACTCTGATGTAGTCGATCTCGCTAGAAAGATTGAAAATAAGGGATGTGACGAGCGTGTAACTAGTGATTTACGTAAGAAGGCCAAGACATGGGGCTCTTTCAGTGGCGGTTTTGATGAAAATCGCAGAGCAGGAAGTTAGAGACAGCAGCAACAGGGTTCTCAGACATGGACACACCTGTCTTCACAGTCCACATACAGACCACAATACAGACAGGGTACTAGGGGACCATCATCATCTGGACATCGTAATTTTGGGCAGATATATGCCACTACTCCAGTCTGCCAGACCTTTGGTAGATCACATTTGGGCTAATGTCGTGTTCTAACTGGAGAGTGCTTTCGGTATGGCCAGTTGGGACATCACTTGAGGGATTGCCCTCATCCTCCGAGAAATTTCAATCAGACTTCTATTCAGTCTGTTGCACCTACTCAGACCACTCGTAATACTTCAGCTGCTACATGTACAGGAAATAGAGGTTGAGGTGCTGGAGATCGTGCTACTGTGAATCAAGGACAAGGGAATGCTGGTAGAGGTCAGGCGAGAGTTTTTGCATTTACTAGACATGATGCTTAGGCCTCGAATGTTATGGTTACAGGTCTTCTTTCTATCTGTTCATTTGATGCACTTGCGTTGACTGATCTGGGATCTACTCACTCCTATGTGTCCTCGTACTTTGCTTTGAGGTTTAGTAGACAACCTGAGCTATTGAATGATCCTTTTTTGTTGCTACTCATGTTGGAGAGTCTCTATTAGCTGAATACGTGTATCGTGCTTGCCAGATTCGGGTTGAGGGTAGAGATACTCTAGCTGACCTTATTGTACTTGATATGATTGACTTTGACATGGTGATGGGAATGGATTGGTTATCTTCTTGCTATGCTTTTGTCGATTGTCATGCAAAGATAGTCAAGTTTGAGATACCAAACGAACCTAGTTTTGTTCTAAAAGGGGGTCAGGTTCCAGAGACTTGCAAAGTTGTATCTTTTATGAAGGCTCAACGACTTCTGAAGAAAGGTTGCTTGGGTCTCTTAGCTATTGTAAATGACACAAGAAAGGAAACAATTAGTATAGAAAATGTACCAGTAGTGAGAGAATTTTCTGATGTATTTCCTGAGGATTTACCAGGATTGCCTCCAGTACGAGAAATAGATTTTGGTATTGATTTTACACCTGACACACAGCCCATATCAATACCGCCATATAGGATGGCACTAGCAGAGTTGAAGGAGCTAAAACAACAACTGTAAGATTTGTTAGATAAGGGTTTTATCAGACCGAATATATCTCCATGGGGTGCACCAGTACTATTCGTAAAGAAGAAGGACGAATCCCTGAGAATGTGCATTGACTATAGGCAGTTGAACAAGATAACAATACGCAATAAATATCCTTTGCTTGTATAGATGACATGTTTGATCAGTTACAAGGAGCTGCCCACTTTTCAAAGATTGACCTCCGTTCTGGTTATCATCAACTTAGAATCAAAGATGAAGATACTTCTAAGACTGCTTTCAGAACTCGATACAGGCACTATGAGTTTCTTGTGATGCCTTTCGGACCGACTAATGCTGCAACTACATTCATGGATTTAATGAATAGGGTTTTCAAGCCGTTTCTAGATAGATTTGTAATAGTATTTAATGATGATATCCTAGAATATTCTCGTAGCCAAGGAGAACACGAGAATCATCTCAGGACTGTGTTGCAGAGATTGCAAAAACATCGGCTTTATGCTAAGTTCTCAAAGCGTGAATTTTGGGTAGACTCAGTATCATTTTTGGGGCATATTGTATCCAAAGATGGAATTATGGTAGATCCTAAGAAGACCGAAGCTGTGCAGAAATGGCCCAGACCTACTTCTCCTACAGAGATTCATAGCTTTTTAGGTTTGGCAGGCTATTGCAGGCATTTTGTGCAGGATTTCTCCAGAATAGTAGCGCCGCTGACCAAGCTAACACAGAAAAATGCAAAGTTTCAGTGGACGGAGGAATGGGAGTAGAGCTTTCAAAAACTCAAAACATGTTTGACAACTGCACCAATATTAGCCTTACCATCAGGTTCCAGAGAATTTATGGTGTTCTGTGACGCATCGAGGGTGGGATTAGGATGTGTTCTAATGCAAAATGGTCGCGTTATTGCTTATGCTTCGAGACAATTGAAAAATCACGAGCAAAACTATCCTACACATGATTTAGAGATAGTTGCAGTGGTATTTGCTCTAAAAATTTGGAGGCATTATCTATACGGCAAAACCTATAAGATTTATACTGACCGTAAAAGTCTGAAGTATATCTTCTAACAGAGAGATCTGAATCTTCGGCATCGTTGGTGGATGGAACTACTCAAATACTATGACTGTTCTATTTTGTATCATCCTGAAAAAGCCAATGTGGTGGTTGATGCATTGAGCAGGAAATCTATGGTGAGTTTGGCACATATAGCTCCTGGAAAAAGACTTTTGGCCAAAGATATTTAGAGACTAGAAGATACAGGTATCGGATTTGGTGTCAGAATTCAGAGGCATTGTTGGTTTGTGCTCAGGCTAAGTCTTCATTAGTTGAGCGCATTAAGGCCACCCAATATGAGGATGAGCGATTATGCAAATACAGAGATGAAACCTTAGCTGGTAAAAGCAAGGATCTGATTGTTGAAAGTGATGATGTTCTTCGATTGGGTGACAGGCTATGTGTAGCAGATGTAGATGGGTTGAGATATGCTATTCTTGAAGAAGCCCACATTTCTAGATACACTATACATCCTGGATCTACTAAAATGTATTATGACCTAAAGCAATTTTATTGGTGGGAAGGTATGAAGAAAGATATTTCTAACTTTGCTTCTAGTTGTTTGACTTGTTAGCAGGTCAAGGCTGAGCATCAGCGACCAACGGGACTACTACAACAAATTAAGATTCCGTAGTGAAAATAGGAAAGGATTACTATGAATTTTGTCACCGGGCTACCACGAACCCTTAGAGGTTATGACTCTGTATGGGTGATTGTAGATTGATTGACGAAATCGGCACATTTTTTGCCAGTGAAAACTACATATGGTGGAGTGAGGTATGCTCAAATATTTATGAACAAAATTGTTCGACTTCACGGAGTTCCAGTATCCATCATCTCTGATAGAGGATCACAATTTACCTCACGCATTTGGAATTCTTTTCAAGAAATAATGGGTACACGAGTAGATCTTAGTACTGCATTTCACCCACAGACAGACGGGTAGTCTGAACGTACTATACAGATCTTGGAGGATATGTTTAGAGCTTGCATTCTCGAGTTTGGAGGTAGTTGGGACGCTTGTCTACCTTTAGCTGAATTTGCTTACAATAATAGCTTTCAGTCCAGTATTCAGATGACACCGTACGAAGCATTATATGGTAGAAGATGTCATTCTCCAATCGGATGGTTTGAAGCTGGTGAGACTAATTATTGGGACCTGACTTAGTACAAGAAGCTATGGACAAGGTCCAGTTGATCAGACAGAGATTGCTTACAGCTCAAAGCATACAAAAATCTTATGCGGATAAGAGAAGAAGAGACATAGTGTTCGCAATTGGAGACAAAGTGTTCCTACGAGTCTCCCCTATGAAAGGTGTAATACGGTTTGGGAAAAGAGGTAAGTTGAGCCCCAGGTTTATAGGACCGTATGAGATACTAGACCAAGTGGGAGCTGTGGCTTATCGTTTGTCACTTCCTCCTGAGTTGTCCTTTATTCATCTAGTGTTTCATGTCTCAATGCTAAGAAAATGTATATCAGACTCATCTCAGGTGGTTGAAGTACAGACTATACCGCTCGATGAGAAGTTGTCTTATGAGAAGGAGCCGATGGCCATTGTTGATAGGCAAGTAAGGAAGCAACAGTCAAAAAAAATTGTGTTCATTAAAGTCTTATGGAGAAATCATACCGATGAAGAAGCTACTTGGGAAGTAGAAAATATATGCAAGCGAAGTATCCCCATTTATTTCAGTCTACAGGTATGCACTTGTTGTAAATTCAGGGACCGAATTTCATAAGGTGGGGAGAATGTAATACCTTTTTTTTATAAGGGTGTATTGATCATTAGCAAAAATAATAATAAGAAGAAACTAACTAATAAAACACACACAAAAAAAGAAGGAATTCAATAAAAGGGCCGATGCCCATTCTGGACAAAAATCAAAAAAACGAAGAAAGGGGAAAAGGGGAAAGCAGCAAAGTTGCGCTAAAAAGAAACAGAAGCATTGAAGCATTCAAAAACAAAAGAATAAGGGGCCAAGCTCGGCAGAAGCAAAACGAACAGAGGCGATTAAAAGAAACCATAAAGTGGGTTTATTTTGTTCTAGCAAAGGGATTTACAGAGAAGGGGAACAATCTAGGTAATTGAATTCTAAAACTTTTCCATGGTAATCTTATTCCTTTACTTAATACTTAGCACACTATTAGCTATCAACAAAATTCAAGTTACTATTAATCTAGTACACACAATGAAATTTTATATACATGATTCTTATAGGGCTGAGTAGATATAATTTTAAAATTGGATTAAGAATTTAAAAGATAAAGTCAAAGAAATTGGAAGAAATTCATAAGACTTTTCCATGAATTAATTGGGTATATCATATGAATAAATTGTATTTAATAGATTTTGAAGTATTCTAAACTACCAGTAGCGCGAGTAAGTATAAATTGACGAATTAAGAGTCAAACATGAACCCAAGGGTTGGGAATTCTAAATTAGCTAAAATAAGGAAATTAACACGAGATCGATATTGATGTGATTATAAATTGATTGAAGAAAGTAATACGGATCGTTCATGGTGTTTCGCACAAAGTAATGTTAGTAGTAATCTTACTGCAATTTGTGTTTTCATAACTTGCATGAATTACACATGATTTTTAATATGAATATGTTACCGATTATTTTGAGTTGCATGTGGGACAAATTTTTTACTCGATATGATACCGAAATAGTTATTTGAGATGATTACCGTTGTTTTAAATATTTACGTTGTCACTAGATCTGTTTTACCGTTACTTGAATTTACTTTTTATCGAAATAAAATTATATGATTTTATAAGAACCGAAATGCCCTATATTGTTTTTAAAATATTTTCTACGAGTATATATGAATTACAGAGATAAGTATAAATGGGAGTAGATATTGAAGGATCCCGTAGCTAACGGCGGGTTCATTAGACCTGATGCACCTTGTAATTACCGATTACTGTTACAACCCTCGCTAGTGGAAAGGTAGAACTAGCATACCGTTACTGATTTCTCTCGAATAGGGACTACCGTTATATTTGACTTCGTGCGAAGAAGTACACAGTTATACCAATTATATGATCTATTCATTGAAATTTCTCAAACATGAATATTGATATTACACAGTATTTTACCGAGCTTATTACTGAATTATCAATTGATTTATATTACATGAAAAACATGATGAGACTGATTATTGTTTATTGTTTCTGAAAGGGCATTCTTAATTCTTATGATATTTTCTGTTTAATATATATACTAGCATGGTTTCTGACTTGTCCCCAATAAAAAGGGTTGTGGTTAAGTATTATTACTCACTGAGCTAGCAACTCACTCCCCGCTATTTTTTTACATAGATAGCAATTGACGCGGGCGAGAATTTCGTTAATTAGAGCGCACATGTTGATAGTTCTTGGTGAGCCTAGCACTTGTTCGCGTGGGCGGAGATTCTATTTATTGTTATGGTCTTTTCTTTGAACTCTTAGAGTCGCTCCATAGTCATTCTTTTAGTGTCATGAGTATTCTTTTGTTATTATAGACTTATGTTGAGTATCGCTCTTTATTATCAAAGTTGGAGATAAATTAGTATTTCTAGCTGTTAGTGGGTTAATGGTAGATATTTATTTAGGTTAATTGATAAAGTTATTGTTGTTTGGATTGATTTTAGGATGTTTGGTTGTTGATTTGAGACAGGGAAATTTTTGAGATAGTCCAAAAACTGGGAAAATTCTGTCCGATTTTCTGTAAAATACCGATAAGGCTTACTTGGGGGCATTTGCTCCTTAGTGCCGGTCATGATCCTAAATTGGGTTGTGACATTGGATAAAATAAAAAAGTATTTTTAAGCATTTGTTTTTAAGCTAAAATGATAAAAATAAGCCAAAAACCAAAAGATGGAATTCCTAACTTATGGCTTCAAAGATATTTTGGCTTAAAAATTACTTAAATTAAGCCAATTCAAACGGGTTCTAAAAATTTTGCGAAAGATATTAGAGTAAGCTCGATTTAGCTCAGCATAGTTGGACAATAACCTGAAAATGACGAAAGAAGCCTTTCATACAATTTGCCTTTACACTTAGAAACTAGAAGGTAAGTTCTTTATCAAAGAAAGCATGATTTTCACATCATAGGCTCATATAGGCAGATTTAATTTGCAGTACCTTTTTTCTTTAACCTATATGGATTTCTCTATAGTCCTCAACTTCTTGCGAGAACAAATCTTAAATGTTAAGTTCTACCGCCAAAAGGATGTGGTGCAATATTGCTCTTTTTTTAACCATAGGTCTCGGGTTCGAGCTGTAGGTATGGAAAAATCTTTGGTAGGGAGCGCTTTCCCTCGAATGGGATCTTATGCGGTGCGATTCTGGATATAGTCGGACTCCAATGCGGGTACCGAACATCGGGTGGAAAACCAAAAAATAAATTTAGTTATTAATTCTCTTTTTTTGTCCTCCTTTCTAAACTTTAGGACACATGACATTGAATAAGAGAGACGATATAAGAATATTTTTCAAAAAAGTGTTTATATTTTATGCGCTGCCATTAGATTAAACTGCTTACAACAATATGTAAGTCTTTAATTGACGGCCGATATAAAATCGGTCGTCACTGCTTACAACAACATTTCTAAACTTTACTCTGTCAGAGTATATACAGGGGCAGATTTATAGTTCAACATATAAGGCACGTGAACCCATGGTCTTTTCGCCAAACTAGATATTTTATGTGCATAAATTAATTTAATATTATTTGTTGGCACTCATGCTTCAAAGGGGCCAAATGTTGGCATTTGTTTGAATGCTAAGTTATTTATCTAGGGGAGTAGGTATCAATTTGATGGATTATATATCACAGCGGAAGCAATTCCAGTATCATATTCATGTGTAAATTAAACAGTTAGCACATATGGAGATTATACGAGTTCCCTCTTGAAGCGTGAACAAAGTAGATCAATCTCGGTCTCCTGTTCTAGAGTAGCAAGACTACGACCTCCAAAAAATGATCCACAGTCTTCTACTATATTACTCAAATAATATCCAGAAAGAGAGAATTTTGGGTGGGCTAAATTTCAAGAAAAAATGTGTGTCAAAACGGCCAGCCCTATACCATGTATATATAGCCACGTTTTTAGGGTAAAACCTTTTTCTAAAACTTGTTGGATTTTCTTTTTCCACAAAGGAAATATTTTCTTTATTTTCAATTATTTAGGCACAATAGGGATCACAAAATTTAATTAACAAGGCTCCCTATTATAGAATTAATTTTGAATTTCGAAATTAATTTCTACAATAATAAATTACGTCTTATTCCACTAAAAAATTCGTAATTGCACTCCTTAGTTCAATTTCAAAATTCTTCCATAAAACCTTATTTAACTCCCCATGTTAAGATTCAGATACTAATCAATCAAATTAAATTGTTGACAATTTAATTCATTGATTACTTCCTTTAGACTTTTGCGTAACTTATTTCATGTGTCGGATACAAAATCTACCGGCCGGGTTTACACATGAAAACTTATAAGCTTTCATAAAGGAGTATCATCAATCTCAAAATCGAGATATAGATTCTATCAACTAATTATTATTTTACCAGTGTATATCATTATTGTCCAGTTTATCAAGCTTATTGACCCACGAAAGAATCTCGCCTTTTAATAAATCAAAATAATAAATGGCACACACAACTAATAATATTTATATTAAGATTAAGAGTATAAGTACACTGAATGGACTAAAGAAATTATTTTATTAAGTCAGTATAAAATACTTATCTCTACATGATCCGTTTAATACATACAAAATGTACTAGCACAAGAAGTCGGAATTAAACTTCTCCAAAAATCAAGATAAATTATATTTAATCTTGTGCTACAACCATTTCGATGGTTTCCTCCAATTCCATCATTAGATCGTGAACATAAACTTTATGACTTATAAGAACCGATGTATAAGCTAAACTCTATACACCAAATCATCTACTATATAAGCAAAGGGCACAGATAAATACATGATCTATTTAAAATAAAACTTTATTGAATTGAATAAACAAATAAACAATTATTCTATAAATAATACTATAACAATACCTAATTTATAGTATATCCTAACAGTCTCCCACTTAGACTCATAACCATGCGTCTACAATTCTAACACTCATTCTGTCTACATGCCTATCAAAAGTCTTCTATGGCAAGCTTTTAGTAAACGGGTCCGCCAAGTTATTCTCTGATGCAATCTTGGTGACTACTACATCCCCTCTTTGCACTATGTCACAAATTAAATGATATTTGCGCTCAATGTGCTTTGCTCTTTTATGGCTTCGTGCCTTCTTCGAATTTGTAACTGCACCACTATTATCAAAATAAAGTGTAATTGGTGCTTGAATTGAGGGAACCGCACCCAACTCTCGTAGGAAGTTCCCGAGACAAACCGCCTCTTTGGCTGCCTCAAAGGCTGCCACATATTTGGCTTCCATGGTGGAATCAGCAACACAAGTTTGCTTGATGCTCCTCCAACTTGTGGATCCACCTCCTAGAGTAAATACATTTTCTGAGGTAGACTTTCTAGAATCTCTATCTGATTGAAAATCCGAATCAGTGTACCAAATAGGTACGAGGTCATCCGAATAGTAGACTAGCATATAATCCCTAGTCCTTTTCAGGTACTTGATTATATGCTTAACCGCATCCAGTGATCTCGCCCAGGATTAGACTGAAATCTGCTAACAATGCCCACGGCAAAGCATATATTAGGTCTAGTACATAACATGATATATATCAGACTCCCCACGACATATGCATAAGGGATCGTCTTCATCTTTTCTATCTCTTCATCAGTGTTAGGAGACCAGTCTTTAGATAGAGCAATTCCATGCCTGAAAGGAAGAAATCCTTTCTTGGAATCATGCATGCTAAACTTGGAAAGTATTGTATCAATATAAAGAGCATGAGATAAGCCTAATATCCTTTTCTTGCGAGATCGTAAGAGCTTGATCCCAAATATATGAGCCGATTCTCCCAAATCTTTCATATAGAAGTGCGTGAAAAACCATTGCTTAACTGAACCCAACATGCCCATATTATTTCCTATGAGCAATATGTTATCTACATATAAGATTAAAAATGCCACTTTATCCCCATTTCACTTCTTGTATACACAAGATTCGTTAAGATATTGATCAAAACCAAAAGTTTTAATCGCCTTGTCAAAACAAGTGTTCCATGCCCTAGATGTCTGTTTCAATCCATAAATGGACATTTTAAGCTTATACAACATATGTTCCTTGCCACTTTCCACGAAACTGACTGGTTGCATCATATAGATGCACTCATCAAGACTTCCATTAAGGAAAGTTGTCTTGACATCCATTTTCCAAATCTCATAATCATAATAATCAACAATGGATAAGAGAATACTATTAGACTTAAGCATGGCTACCGGTGAAAATTTTCCTCATAATAGATCCCTTCTTTCTAAGTAAACCCTTTCTCTACTAGCCTTACTTTAAAAGTTTGCACTTTTCTATCTACACCTCTCTTTTTCTTATAGATCCACTTGCATCCAATGTGTTTAACCCCATCAGGCGATTCTACAAAATTTCAGACATGATTAGAGTACATAGACCCCATCTCTGATTTCATAATAGCAACCCACTTATCAGCATCTTTATCATGTAGTGCTTGGTAATTGAGAGGTTCGGTAGTTGGCTCCTCAGGGATCCTATCATATGATTCTCCCATTAATCAACAATAAAAAGACCATTAATCAATGTAACTGAAGAGAGATAACACTTATTATGACTAATAACACATTTATCAATATCATAAAAATTAATGTCATAACCATCTCTCATAGCTAGAAACCGAAATTAAATTTCTTCTAATGGAAGATACATATAATGTGTCCTTTAAAGTTAATATTCTATTACTACCAAATGAAATACTAATATTTCCTAATGCTAAAGCTGGAGCTGCCGAACCTTCTGTTTGATAAACATTGATTTCTCCTCTACTTAGCCGTCGCGTTACCTGAAAACCCTGCAAAAAAGTGCAGACATGATTAGTGGCTCCTGAATCTATACACCATGACATGGTAGAACACATCCGCTAAATAGGTTTCAACGACAAGTAGATGTAAATCACCTGTTTTATTATTCAGCTTGGCCAGATAAGCCGGACATTGTTTCTTATGCCTAGGCTTCTTGCAGTGATAACACTTGCCCTTAGGCTTTTTCACACCTGCAGTTGTGCCTCCAACAAAGGGTTTTGAGCCTTTTTCTTCTTCCGCCCCCCTCTCGACTTAGAAGAAGAACCTATCTCAAAATTCAGTGCCACGGGAGGAGCTTGTTGCTTGATAATAGTCTCTGCCGACTCCAGTTCAGTAAGCAATTTCGCAAGTGATAAATCCATTTTATTCATATTATAATTCAGGCAAAACTACTGAAAACTGTCAGGCAGAGTCTGCAGTATCATCTCAACCTTCGTATCTTTATTAATGTTAGCTCCAAGGACCTCCAGTCCATTCAGAAGACTCATCATCTTTAGAACATGATCCCTAACAGATGAACCTTTAACCATTTTGGTATTCAGAAGAGCTTTCATGGCAGTCTGCTTAGCCGCACGATTCTGATCTCCAAACATCTCTTTGAGATTTTCTAGAATGTCATAAGCAGACTCCATAGACTGATGTTGATGTTGCAGAACATTCGACATAGATGCCAGAATGTAACACCGCGCCATCTCATCAGCTTTAACCCATTTTTGGTAAGCTTTATGTTCATCATCCGTAGCATCTTCTCCAGGTTTTTCTGGACACACCTCATCAAGCACAAATTTGTACTCTTCAGCAATTAGGACAATATCCAAGTTTTATTTCCAATCAACATAATTCGGACCCTCAAGTTATTTTTGAGTAAGAATAGCAGTAAGGGGATTGAAAGCAATCATGGTTAATATGAGAGAAAACTAAACAAATAGATCAAAATCAGTCATGTTTCATTGAATATTAAAATTCAAAATACACTACATACATATAATCCATGCACCTTGAACAACTTTCGATGGGAAAAGAGCTATTCTTACAATATACATATGTAATGAAAGATTATTCACTCTATGAATTTAAACATGCCTTACTCGGATGGAGAGTAAAGTGTTAATTTAAGTCAAGTGAATATCAACATTCAAGATACTAGTCCCATTGAACCAACATGCATACTCAGCTGAAGAGTAAATACAAGTAATCAACAACTAGTATTAGCTAGTGATTACCTATAATGAGTTTATCCGATATGGAAGAAGACCTACGCTAACGTGTAAATTCATTATATCACCAGAATTTAACCCCGGAGTCCATAGAAAATTATCCCTATTACCACTGGATTAAAAATAACTTAAATGTTTTTTTTTGAAAAAATTCCAAAAAATTAGAAAAACGCCCAAAACACCATCTAAACAACCCCGAATGCCCAAACAATGACTTACATCATTAGCAAAGCTGATTAGTATTGACCATAGGGTCGTTTCCCATGCACCTACCAAATTTAAGGTCAACGGAGTCCGTCAACATATTGACCTCCGATTTTCTTACCAATTCGGCCAAAAATGAGTTTTTGCTTTTTTCTCGGATTTATGAATTTTTTAGATTATTCTTATCATATATCATCAATATTAAACAGATATTACATGATTTACAGAATCATAAAATATTCTCAGAACAAATATTCATGCATAGAGCAGTGCAATCTTTTAGAAAAACAATCGTTGCATGTAATTCAAAACTTACATATTAACATGATGTTCCTTTTTCATGATCATCCTAATTATCTAATTAGACATGAGTAGGACATGATACCAATTGATGGATTATATATCACAACAGAAGCAATTTCAATATCATATTCACGTGTAAATTAAACAATTAGCATATATGGAGACTATACGAGTTACCTCTTGAAGCGTGAACAAAGTAGACCAATCTCGGTTTCCAGTTCCAGAGTAGCAAGACTACGACCTCCAGAAAATGATCCACAGTCTTCTACTGTGTTACTCAAATAATATCCAGAAAGAGAGAATTTCAAGTGGGCGAAATTTCAAGGAAAAACATGTGTCAAAACGGCCATCCCTATACCATGTATATATAGCCACGTTTTTAGGGTAAAATCTTTTTCAAAACTTATTGGGTTTTCTTTCTTCACAAAGGAAAAGTTTCCTTTATTTCCTACTATTTAGGCACAGTAGGGACCACAAAATTTAATTAACAAGACTCCCTATTATGGAATTAATTTTGAATTTCGAAATTAATTTTTACCATAATAAATTACTAATTATTTCACTAAAAATCATAATTGCACTCCTTAGTTCAATTTCAAAATTCTTCCATAAGACCTTATTTATCTCCCCATATTAAGATTCTAATACTAATCAATCAAATGAAATTACTGACAATTTAATTCATTGATTACTTCCTTTAGACTTTTGTCACACCCCTTTTTTACCCCCAAAAAAAGATGTATATGTTTTATGGATTGTCTGGGTTAAACAGTTTTTCCAATTAAAGTGACAAATTTGAGTAGGGATTATTTTATTTACAGAGTCGCCACTTGGAATTAATTTTTGGGTGTTCCAAGTCACATTTTATTTGAATCCCTAGTCAAAGGAAGGCTTGACTCTATTATTATTGGTCTGTGAAAACAAAGTCTGGGTAAGGAATTCTGTTGACCAGAAAGAAGGTGTAAGGCTTTTTTCGAGTCCCGTGGTTCTAGCACGATCGCTTTATTGACTACATTCGGCTTGAATTAATTTTGGATAAATTATGATTTATTGGTTTTCATGTTTTATCTATCCGCTTTTATTTCTTGATTAGATTTATAAAAATAATATCTTAAAATAAGTCATGCGCACGTGTACTCATTTTATTTGACGTGTCCAGAATCATGCCAGGTGTACGTGTACACAATCAATAACAGATTTATTATTATTAAGGTTGTTTGGTCAAAGTCGCGTGGACGCATACCTTGATTTATTTATGGGATCATAACTATGTCATGGGAACGTGTACATAATTACGATAATTTATTTATTAATACGCGCATAAAACACTTTAACGGTGTTCATTATTCTTCCTAAACTTTGAGATTATTGTAAGGTCATGAATTATGGAATTACTTGTGGAAGGGTGTAAGATTTGATTATTATAATTATGGTATAAATAGGGACATTGGGTAAGTGTTGTATTCATGCCCCCCTTATTAAGCCCCAAGTTAAAATAACCATCAACTTAAAATATTCTACCAAACCAAGATTAGAGTAAGTAGCTACTGCCCAATCGGTTATTTGGCCAAAACTAATTTAAATCAAAACTTAAGTTTAAAAGTCCCAACACTTTGCAATTTCAAAATCACTACCCAAGATTTGCTGACTTTATCTACGGCCCAACTATGCAAAAGAAGTGATGCAAATCCTATAAACTAAATGGAACTTTAATGACAAAAGAAAAGAAACAATATAAAACACATCATACATGTACTAATTAATTCGACCAGCAGCTTGTGGCAATCCAATTACCACGGCAAATAACCAAAGCATGGTAAACATAGCTCATAAAGAAAATCATGGCAGGGAATCATGTAATATCAAAGAAACAGATAGACCTCTAAGGCAAACTAATACAAAAGAATAATAACTTATCAAAATCATAAGTAAAATGAAATGGAGACAAAATAAACATAATGAATGGACCTTTATTGATGAATCTAGAAATGAGAACTTGTAAACCCACAGACCGAGCAACAAACGAGCGCCACCAACAGGAACCTTTGGCCGTAGAACTCCCACGTCGACCTCGAACGGATCTCTTAAACTTTGAACTTCAACTGGGTTTAACAGAGACAGAAGCGGACTATTTTGGAGTGATTTATGGAACCTCAAACGGCGTCCATGATGGTGGAACTGGGCGGAAGAGAGCAGAGGTTCGCTGCTGATTGTTTGGTGGTTTCGGGATGGTTTTACAGCTGTGTTTTGGATCTATTTCGGACAGATGTTTCAGCTGCGTTTTGGAGCTGATTAGGGACTGTTTGGTGGCTGAATTTGCAGCTGGTTTCACCTCAGTTTTGGGGATGGAGTTTGGACGTTTTTTAGCTCCCTTTTCAGCTCATTTTTGAGCTATTTTTGAGGGAGTTTTGTGTGTGAATGTTGAGGTTGTTTTGTTGCCTTTTTAGCTGGAGTTTCTAGCTGGTTTCCATGGTAAAGAAACGTGAGTGAGTAGAAGATGGGTTGTGAGTGGGGGTACAAGCATGAGGGAAAAGCATGGGGGACAATGGAAAGTGCAGTGGGAAAGATGGAGTAATAAGTGAGATAAATGGGAAAAAATTCAAGCACGGTCAAAAATTAGGTACTCACAGCATGCCCCTCTTTGCTTGGAAACATGAAGTGTTTTCAGGTAAAGAAATGATGAGCAATATGACTAATTTTTGGTCATACCGTTATTCAAAAGTGGAAGAAAAATAAAAGAAAAATGGTGCAACCGAGTCCTATTTTAGACAGCCTACATATCCCGGGTTATAGGGAAATTGGGTCGCATGTAGTTCAAGAAAAGTGATGGAATGATGAGTTGGAGAGTCGAGTGAGATTCCGTCGAGGCTCCGTGGTCCTGCTATTACATCAAAATCGAAAGAAACTAAAAAATCCTATCAACTCTAAGTTACAAGATTCCTATCTATAAGTCTTTTACAGCTTGATCATGAGTCTTGACTGATTGTTTATGCAGACTCTGATCTGAACCTTGATGCTTGCTAGTTGTAGGTGCTAGTTCATTCTTTTACGGCTTCTTCTGAGCAAAATGGGAAATGTAAAGCTCGTAACTTCAGTCATATCTTGAGCAATCTGTATCTTTTCCATTTGCTTCTGCATTTGGATTCACTTATTTTCCTTTTCTTTTCTTTATTCTGGATTGAGAAATCTTCTTTTAGTCATCTCAAACCATGTGCTTCGAGGTAAAACCTGCTCAGACTCCAAAACAAACAAACGAACGAAATTTTTCTGCCCCAGTTTACACTAGAAAAATTTCTTTATTGAAAGCAATAAAAGGTCAGGAATAGTATACCCTGAAAAGATCATGATGACTCTCTTTTTTTGAATGGTGTTCCTTTATTGTCAAAAAGATATCTCAACTAAGGATTGGTGTACCTTATGTTGGGAAGGAGACTGGGGAGTGGAGACCCTATATTTAAAATAAAATCAACTAGAAAGTGGAGACCCTATTTTAGAAAAGAAGACTAGGGAGTGTAGACTCTATATCTAAAATAAAAATCAACTAGGGAATGGTATACCCTGATACTGGTAAGGAAAGGTAACCAGGGTTTGGTACCCTGTATTACAGAAAATGAAAGTAACCAGGGGTTGGTACCCTGTATTACTAAAAGGAAATGTAACCATTGGTTGGCGCCTTGTATTACTGAAAAGAAGTGTAACCAGGGGTTAGCGATGTGTATTACTGAAAAAGGAAATGTAACCAGGGGTTGGTACCCTGTATTACTGAAAAGGATATATAACCAGGGGTTGACGCCATGTATTACTGAAAAAGGAAATGTAACTAGGGCTTGGCGCCCTGTATTACTGAAAAGGAAATGTAACCAGGGGTTGGCGCTCTATATTACTGAAAAAATACTGAATTCCCTGGGTGAAAAGGTTCTACCTGGGTTAAACTACGAAAAGCAAACCTGGGCGAAGAGTACTTCTACTCGAAAATATGAGCTGGATCCCCCTAGGTGAAAAGGTTCTACCTGGGTTAAGCCACGTAAAAACAACTTACGTGAAGAGTACTTCTACCCGAAACTATGAGCTGGATCCCCTTAGGCGAAAAGGTTCTACCTAGGTTAAGCTACGAGAAACAACCTGGGCGAAGATTACTTCTGCCCGGAAATATGAGCTGGATCTCCCTAGGCGAAAAGGTTCTACCTGGGTTAAGCTAAGAAAAATAGCTGGGCGAAGAGTACTTCTACCCGGAACAATGAGCTGGATCCCCCTAGGTGAAAAATTCTACCTGGGTTAAGCTACGTAAAAACAATCTAGGCGAAGAGTACTTCTACCCG